CATACTCCAATACTGGCCAATGTCAGGGGGGAATGCCCATTCTTGCCCTGAACTGCTGCCCCAGGGGGGTGATAAAGTGAATGGTCCTGATGGTGTATTTGTGTCCCCAGCGTTCGAGGTGCAAGCGGATATGCAAGAAGTGGTACAGATGTGTCCCCGATACCCGGAGCCCGTCCCCCTGGAGCACCCCGTCACTGTCCTGAAGGAGGCCCTGGGGAAGGTCAGTGTGGCCGGACAGAACGAGATTGCCAAGACGCGGTCTCATATCCTGGCTGGCGGTCAGGGGCTGTACCGTCCGGGCCCCTCAAAAGGAACGGGCCCCAGAATATAGTAAACCCTCCCCCTGGGATTGTGTTGTAAGAAGATACATCAGAGTGCCGCCGACCCGCTGATATTTCATCCAATCAGAGACTGGGGTCGTCTCTATGACGCCGTAACCGACCCCCCCAAAGAGAAGCCCCTCCAGGACTGATCATTGATGGTCTCTCCACAGGTGGACGCGTTTCTGGGTGGCAAGATCCGGACTCCCGGCCTGCCGGCCATGTCTGCCATCGTCACGTACAACGACACCGTCCTCTGGACAGGGAACTTCGGGAGGAAGAACGGATCGGACCCTTCCTCCCCGGCTCCCAACGAGTACACCATTTACCGGTGAGAGGGCCGCACACAGCACTAAGGATGGGCCGAGTGTTCGATTCGAGAGCTCGCCGGGCGCCGAACTTTATGGGATGTTCGCGGTCTATTCGACCGCGTACATTACATAATACAAAATGGCCACTGAAGCTCTGATTTGTTGAACCACAGGTCAGGTGCAAGACTTTGCCCAATCAGGGCTCAGCGGAGGAGGGGACTGAAGGAGAAAGTTCTCTATCAGGTCCCCCCATGCTGATTGACAGCAGGCAGTGGGCGGGTGGAATAGCCAGCTTGCTATTGGCTATTGCATTTTACAATATCCAATAGCAGGCTGGGTATGGCTCCCGGCCTGCAGACGAAGTGGAGGCAGGGGGGGCGGGGCAGAGGAGCCGCGGCCGGACTGAAGGAGAGAAGCCGACGGAACCGCCAGGACAGCGAGCGGACGGACCAGGGGCCCGGATGCCGGGACAGCGAGCGGACGGACCAGGGGCCCGGATGCCGGGACAGCGAGCGGACGGACCAGGGGCCCGGATGCCGGGACAGCGAGCGGACGGACCAGGGGCCCGGATGCCGGGACAGCGAGCGGACGGACCAGGGGCCCGGATGCCGGGACAGCGAGCGGACGGACCAGGGGCCCGGATGCCGGGACAGGGAGCGGACGGACCAGGGGACCGGAGGCCGGGACAGCGAGCGGACGGATCAGGGGACCGGAGGCCGGGACAGCAGCGGAGGTAAGGGGGCCAGTACACTGTATTTATAACATGTACCGGCAACTGTATGGGGGTGGAACATTCGACCCCCATACACTTGCATTGAGTTCGTATTTGAACATTTCGGCCATTCGAATACGAACCGAACACGGGGGGTGTTCGGCTCATCCCTACACAGCACATCCATAGTGCAGGGGAACCATCCGGGTCGGGTTCATATTGAAAGGTTTTAATCTCGCGCGTCACATCCGAGTTTCACCACACACACAAATAATCCGTTTCCACGAGTACACCACACACGACGAAGGATTCCCAGTGCACCATGGGATAGGTAAAGAGCGGACCACAGAGCTTGTCTCCTCTCACACTGTTTGATTGAAATCTCAGATGCAGAGAAAGGGGGGCGGAGCCTCTGCTCTTCTCATTCACTGTGTGTGTGTAAAAGTCAGCCTGAGCTATTGAGCTCTGTAAACGCTGGCACAATATTTCATAGCGGCGCCATATTTTTTTTTAGTCCTGACCGTATATAATATGTGCGCAGGGCTATCCATTCGGTTTGATGTTGGTGACAGCCGAGCTCCAGCTGAGGGCACGGACTACACAGAGAAGCCGAGTTCATTTCCGTGGCCACGCCTAGTCAGGGAAGCTTTGAGATTGTGATGTTTCAGGTAACCGCGCGGCCAGGTGTAGGTAGGGGGCGGATAGTGTCCCATTCCTCTCCCCTCACTGCCAGCCAACCCTCTACACCAAGGGGTGGCCAAACACCGGCCCTCCAGCTGGGGGTGGAACTACAAATCCCACGAGGCATTGCAAGATTCTCACAGCCACAGACATGACTCCCGGAGAGAGATGCATCATGGGATTTGTAGTTTCACCGCATCTGGAGGGCCGGAGGTTTGAGACCCCTGCTCTACACCAAGGGTGGCCAAACTCCGGCCCTCCAGCTGGGGGTGGAGCTACAAATCCCATGATGCATCTCTCTCCGGGAGTCATGTCTGTGGCTGTGAGAATCTTGCAAAGCCTCATGGGAGTCGTAGTTCCACCCCCACACAGCTGGAGGGGCGGAGTTTGGACACCCCTGCTCTACACTAATGGTGGTCTACACACTGGAGATAGGGGACCTCCGCTGCAGCCCCTGATGGGGCCACACGTATATAGTCAGCTTGTCAGAGACTGGGGACATGAGACTGCTAGAGATCACTGCCACTACAACCCAAATCAATGTCCTAGCTGCCGGGGCACAGGGGCCACACAATGAGCACCAAAAGGCCGCGGGGTTGGGCCCCAGGGCCCCGTACTGTGTTCTCAGACACTAGCCGGAAACAACAGCAAAGCCGCCACTCACTGACGCAGCCCGCCATCTTTTTCCCCCGGCAGAATCGCCAGCATCTCCAAACTCTTCCCGGCACTCATGTTGTACAAGTTGTGGGAGGAGGGGGAGGTGAGCTCGCTGGACGACCCCCTGGAGCGCTACGTCTCCAACTTCACCATCAAGAACCCCCTGGGAAGGACTCGCCAGCCCGAGGAGAGGTACATGGCGGACGGCTTGACCTTCATGGAGAAAGGGGCGCAGCCCGCCAGGCCCACTGCCGTCACCCTGCGCAGGATGGCGAGCCAGCTATCAGGTAAAGGTCACTGAGTCTGATCTGAAACCGCGGCGCCAAAGCTGCGCACTGACAA